TTGTGAAGTTTGTTTGCTGAATAATGTGAGAATTTGTGCTCCAAGTTGAGTTCCTGCTCAGATTGGTTATCTTTTACCCCTTCCTACAAAAATTGTTTTCATTTTTTTTAGGACAAAATTTACGTGGATAACATAGAGACTAGTGCCGCTGCCTTAAAGAAGCTTTCTGACGAGTGGAAGACACTTTCTTCCAAGCAGTCTTCACCGCAAGCGCTTGCTGAGACCCTCAAGAGTTTTAGGCAAAAGGTTAGTTGTACATTTGATTATTCTTGTTCAGGTAGTTTCTCTTGTGGCTTTTTTATTATTCTGATTCATTTACCACGTTTTCTGTATATACTCAGAATGCACAGGCGTTGAGTGGCGGAGCAGATGTTGCCAGCCAAGGTTACTTCAAGGATGCAGATAAATACTGTAAGACGATACTGGGAAAATTATCAAGCAGTCACGGCTGTTTAAAAACGGTTGCATTTACTGTAGTTGTGCTGGCTGTGGGGGCTGCATTTGTGTCGCCAAATCTGGATGCATTGGACTGGAATAACTTGTCTGCTTTTCTCAATGCCCAACTTTCCATATGAGATTAAGAAACTGGGGCAGATCAACATCTGTTTCTTTTGTTTTGTTTTTTTTTATTAATCTTGTTCGGCTTTTGTCACTGAAAACTAACTACAGTATGCTTAAAATAAAGTGGTACACACGGAAGAGCTCTAGGCCTTTGTGTAATAGCAACTTGTGTTGGATAATTATCTTTTTTTTTTTCTTTTTTCCTTTTTAAAGGAGAAAGGTATTAAAAAGTAAAAGGATTTTGGATTATTGGGGTCAATCTTCTTAAAATGTATTTCATGTTGGCCTGTTGTAGTTCTCGATGACGTTCTCTTTTGTTTAAGAATAGCGCGTTATTGTTTCTCTTCTGTTTAAGAACAATGGCGCGTTATTGTTTCTCTTTTGTTTAAGAACAATGGCGCAGCACGTTATTGTTTTTACTCTGGGCTGCCACACGTTTGGATATAATTGTTTGTCATAGCTTGCGGAAGTTTGAAATCTACTCAGTTGTTTACTTTAGCCAGTTGAGTTCGAGCAACTAATCAAATTCATTTATTAAATTGAGTTCAAACAACTAATCAAATTTGTTTGTGAAAGGAGGCTAGCGGAGAGTGTGTTTACGAATAACTAGTATTTAACCTGTGCATTTGCACGGAAAAGCTATATGATAAAGTGATAAAAAAAAATTATAAAAATCATAACATGATCATTGATAAAAAAGTTAAACAACAAAATCTAAATTTAAATATTATTAAACACTTCTTTATATACAACGTTCGCGGTTTTCCCTTTGTCACAATTTCCATTACCACAAATCATTATTTTAAGACCCCTCCGATTCGTGACTCTAGATAGTGCCACATACAACTGTCCATGACTAAATACAGGGTTCTTCAATAGTAAGCCGACGTGAGACAGTGACTGGCCTTGACTTTTGTTGATAGTCATAGCATATGAAACTATGAGCGGAAATTGTCTGTGTTGAAATTTGAACGGAACCCTCAAATCGGATGGTATGATTGTGAGCCTAGGAATAAGAACCTTGTCATCAGCTCTGGCGCCGGTTAAAATCCTGCATTCGAGGACATGGCTGCTGAGCTTAGTGATAACCAATCGTGTACCTGTTGACATCAAAGTTCGGAAAACAAAAACATATCACTAAAATTGGTACAAAGATAAAAACAAATATAGATGATAGATAGAATTTTGATGAACAGTACCGTTGCACAACCCCATGGAGTGATCAATCTTTCTGAGAAGCATCACTGGAGTGCCGACCTTAAGGTGCAATTTATGATTCGGAAGTCCAGAGCATTTGATCCCATTGAGAAATTCAGGAGTGTGAAGATCCTGAAGAGAATCATATCCAGCATCTGACTTGCACGCAGTGTCTGAACTCAAATAAGTCCTTCCCTCGGATGAGTTCAGCGAGCTCATGTACTCGTTAACGGACTCAACCACATCAAGTGTGGGGGCGAGTATGGCTCTGTCCTTCAGATAGCTAAGATCATCACATGCACTTCTGAACATCGGATAGGTACTCTCAACAATAGCACCAATAGGATCCCCTTGTGAGCGTAGAAGAATATCGTCGGGGATGTCGATATCGGCACAACCATCGTTCGATTCACCGACTGTACCGTCGCCGATGTTTGCAAGCCATTCAGAGAAGCTCCTCAACTCATCGTACTCATCGCCCCCATCAAGGCTTCGAAGCCTCATATTCCGAGTCAGTCTCAGAACGATACAATCGCGCCACAACTTGGATGAATTGATGGTCGCATTAACTATGTCGCTTCGACTGCCTTTAGGGACAACGGGCAGTATCTCTCAAATCCCCACCCAACACAACACACTTGCCGCCAAATGGGAGATTTTTCCTCAATGGATCAACTGCTTCCATTAAGGCTCGCAAGGTGTTGTCAACCGCCTGGAAGCAATATTTGTTCATCATCGGGGCTTCATCCCAAATGATCAACCGACATCGTATGATCAGTTCGGCCAAAGGACTCTGCTGGCTAATATCGCATGTAGAGCCTTCCACTGGGTTTAGTGGGATTCTGAATCGTGAATGCGCAGTGCGTCCGCCGGGAAGTAAAAGTGACGCAATACCGCTCGATGCAACGTTCAACACAATTTCACCTTTGGATCTCAAAGCAGATGACAACGCCCTCCAAACATACGTTTTTTCGGTGCCACCGTAACCATAAACGAAAAACATGCGGCCGTAGGTACGGTAAACAGAGTCCATTATCGAGTCATAAACATTGCGCTGCTCATCAGTCATATTGGCAACCAACTCCTGATTCTCAATAGCGAGTGCACGCTGATCGTAATTCAACTCGTCCATCACCAGTCTGTTCGTGGATGCCTAATTACGATCGAGATTAGGAAAAGGCATTGTACCGTATTCGCGAAGACTCGTACCACGTCTGCGCAAAATTTTTTCAACCTCCGCCAATGCCAGATTCTTTACTTCATCATCGCTCAAAACCAATTCTGTAACAACAATATAGAAACTTTATAAATATAAAGACATAAGAGAAAAATAAAAAAAACATAAGTATGTGACCGTAATTAATTCGTTTACCTGGGTGCTGTAAGACCCTCCGACGATTATATAATATATCATCCGATAGGTAATGCCAGCATGATTCCCACACGAATTCCGGTCGACCGAGAGTATCAGAAGACAATAAAGTAGCAAAAAGGTTTCTCAACGAATTGGCAGTCGACCACTGGCTTGCCTCGATGATCCCTTCAATGTACTCTTTGTCGTCCTCCACCAGACCGAGGGTATAACACGTGTCACGATAAGAATCGTGTTGTACTCCGTCCAACTTCATATAGTCACGATGGCACGTTGCACCTCGAACAACGTTGAGAAGACACCTCAAGTAATATATGTCACCAGCACCAGGGGGGACGAAGTACAAACGCGCGATACGGTCACTTCCTTTTCTAGGCTCCCAACTGTTGGTTTCCGAGTGCCACGTAAAATTGGTGGGAGCCTCAACGTACGTCAGCTTCCTAGCTTCGGGATACTTCTTGTTAGCTTCCATCCAAGCTAAAAATTTGATGCCGGCATTTTTATTTTTCTTAACAACTTCATCGATCGGAACTTCATCGTCATAGTAGCACGGATGCTCGTTCTCGAGGTGAAAATTCAAGCGCTCCACTGATGGGTGCTTGTATTGAATCTCATAATCCAACAACCGCCACGCAGCCTCACAAGAGGAAACGTATCGACAATCATAGTACATCTTCACCTCGTCAACTGGCCTGCTTGAGGACTCATCTCCATTGGACGCATGGAAGGTGGCAGTAACGCGATCGTTCCCCTTGTTCACATACTTGAACAAATATTTGATCGACCTCGACTGGTTGCACCACTTCATATTTATGTGCGCGTCGTACTTCAGTAGCAATTTTCTGTTATGAGGCACAACATATCTGTTATCCAAGGGAATGCCATTCTTTTCTATGGTCCTGCCATTATCACGGCGTCTGTATCGTGGATAGCCTTCTTCGTCAAGAGTCGTGGTTTCGGAGAACTTTTTAGGAAAATGTTTTGTGCAACAATCGTTCACCATACACGGAGATTTCGGGCGAACACTTCCGCAGGGCCCGTGCATCATATGATCTCTAACAGCGGCATAGTAAAATGGATCTGTGGCCTCATCCGGTATTTCCGCGGAAATTATTTTATCTATGCCATCAGTAGTCTGTATCTTGTATTCCTTGGCAAGGAAAAGCAAGATATGCGCATGCGGAAGGCCACATTTCTGGAATTCAATCGTGTAGATTGCTGCAGTAAATTCATACTTAGGTGAAAAATAATACAATGCAAAACATATAATAAAAAATATAAATAAATCAATTAAAAAATAGTTTGAAAAAATACCTGCATTCACATCTCCAAACATCTTGTTATGCCGAACATCCCGCATCAATGCATCCAGCTTGGTCTTAAAAATCCGACAGATTATATCAGGACGATCCTCTGGGTTGAGGTTCTTCTCAGCAAGAAAACGACTGATTTCGGGCCATTTCGGATTGCAAGTGAAGGTTATGAAAATGTCAGGATAACCAGTCCAACGACAAATGGCCATCGCATCCTGATAGTTCTGAATCATATATCTCGGGCCACCCATAAAGGATGACGGAATTATAATCCGTTTGCCTTGAGAACCAGGATCCGTGTCACCGCGCAACACAGCGTCGGATAGTCTGCTGTACAATTCAGTTCTCAAGTTCTTCTGATTAAAACGGATGTATCTGAGCCGAAATCCCTCTACCATTGTATAAGCGTCCGCAACAAACTGCTGATACAATCTCCGGGCGGAAAGAATTGACGACAATTCGTAGTCCAGATCGTGCATTCGATATTTGAAGAACTCCAACGGGCTGATAAATTTCCTCGCCATATGGAAAAAGAATAGGATAATGGAGAGCCAAGTAGGAAGCGTTCAACTCTTTATCCGCTGCAGACGTCCGCTCTGATTTTCTACTATAATATCCCTGCTGCCCAGAGCATCATCGAAATCCCCAACAACTAAGGCGGCAACTTCAGAAGTGTAGGGTAAATTATAACGTCGACCATCCTTGTTCCTTCTACCGATAAGACGCATCTTAACTTCAATTTGCTGGTGCTGGTCCACCGTCTCCCGCGCCATCCTGAACGACTTTACCAAAACATTGTAATGATCGAGTAGCTCCTTTAAACCACGAACGACATCCTCATCTGGGTTATTCCTTTCAGAACCTCTCCTGACATAAAGAAAAAATTATATTGAATTAGTAAAGATAATGTAAAACGCAATTAAGAAAAAATAAGTACTCAATTTTGAATGCTAAAAATATAATATATATACCTCACAGAAGACAATCGGTTTGAGACTTCGTTCTCTGTGTCATAGATGTACAATTGAGCAAATTTCGGAGGCGCCCCATTGTCAGGTAGCAAACTACCCATTAAATGGTAGTTCTGACCGTGCAAACGGAAGACGGGTGGGCCCGTTCCCTTGTTTATGTCGGTATCGATTTTTCCCCCATGGATGTAAAGCAGAACATATTGTTGTAAGACCGAATGTTTTCTTGAAAGCGCTTGCTACGTGGACCTGACCCAAAAATCAGCTCACGCAGAAAGGAGGAGGAGTGTAAACGGGTGGAAGTTCGATGAATCCGTTGTTGCAGCAACCAGAGTACTTAGGGATTTAGGTTTAGATGGTTTGCCCAATCGCTCAGAGTACCAAAATCTCGCGCCACAGTGAAGGCAACGGAACGATGCGTCGCCAATATCCCAATATTCTGTGGCATTGTAATTTAAAAATAAATTTAAAATATATTATATAGATTTTAAATATTCTAAAAATATACAAAGTCATGCATCCCTCTTTCCATAAAATAAATAAAATAAAATAAAAAATATCTTCAAAAAAATAATTATCATTTTTGATTGATGAGTTCGACGAACCGGAATTGTTGATGGTAATGGAAGGAGTGATTGGGCGCCTCGGACGACCGCCTACATTCGTCCGAGGTGGCAAGCTCAAAGATGAAACTGCAGGACATTAGATAATTGGTATAATCATTGAATATATAACATGTAAACATAGATGATTATTTTTTTTTCACATAAATTAAACTAAACAAGTTGGTTGTGTTTTTGGAATTACCATTTGTGATGGGTCGTAAGGCGAGTCTCGGACGACCGCCTACGTTCTTCCGAGGTGGCAAGTTTGATGATGAGACTGGAAAAAATATACGCGAGGTAAATATATATGAGTAACTAAATTTTAGATTTTGTTACAAAATAAATTAAGTGACATAATTTGATAATGAATTTAGGGATAGCTTTGTTGACATGGTTAACCAACGAAGTCGGTGTAGCATTTTCATCATCCTCAATTGTAAGGTCAATAAAAGGTACCGAACCGCTCGAAGAAGCATTAGCGATGTGGGATATGGTACTATTTTGAGACGAAGCGATGTGGGATATGAAACTATTTTGAGACGAACGCTGTGAATTTAGGATTGGAACACCTAAAATGAAAGATTATATAAAATTAAATAAAACTAAACATATCAATAACAATATTTCTTATAATGATACAAATAATTATCAATTCTAAAAGATTTACAACAATTAAGAAAAATATAATCATACCCGGTTTTTGTTTGATAGAACACGCATTAGTAGGAACTGGTGGTGTTTGGAACGTAGATGTTACTGTAGACAAATTTGATAATGAAACTACAATACTTAAATAAATATAGTTGATTTTGAAGTTACAACAACTGTAAATTTAAAAAATGCAAACTTAATATTATATAAATTTGTGATATAATAAACTGAAACAAACAAAAAAAAATTGAATTTTATAATATAACAGTTTTGTATAAATATATACATGTAATATTTTTACTTGTTTAGATGAAAAAATATAGCAATAATTTGGAACATGATTTATTGGGCTTTTCATTTAAATCCCAGCAAATATGTTCACTTGTTTTGGGCTTTTTCAAACAAATATTGTTAACCCATTTTGAGCCCAAATTCTGTGACAATAATAACGTCGCCCGAACCTGTTTAAAATGGCCACACGTACACATGGAAGTTTTATCTATTTCAGACGCGTGTCTGAGTTTGGATTTAAATATCTCTAACCCTAAACACGCACCGTCTTCGCCATTTTTCTCGCCTCTCTCATTATTCTGATGCCGTTTCTCTCTCTCATTTCTCTCTCTACTGAAGTTTTTCGACCATTTTACGCCGATAATTTCGCCAAGAACAATGTTTCACCGGCGATTCAATTCAGTTTTTCAAGCTGATACCGAAAAATACCTGAGATGAGTTTGTTTCGAATGAAAAGGGAGACGACAAAGTGAAATCGGCCCGATTTTACAACACCGATTTACTAATTCATAGTATCTCGGTACAAATCGGGCGATTACATATAGATATTTGCAGATTTATATTTTTTTGGTAATTTTTTTTTTGTTTTAAGTTGTTGTATTTTTAAATCGATATTACATAATAGATCTGTACAGATCTGTAGTGTTTTCGCTTGATTACTTAATATATCTTGATAGATCTACAACTTTTCTATTTTTAAAATTTTTTTAAAAATTTTCCTTCGATTAAAAACGTAATGAGATGATTGATATGTAAAGATCTTAAAGTTTCTTTGGGTTTATTTAATTTTTAAACTTTTTATTATTAGATTTCGTTTTGGGTTAGCTTCCGACTGACGGGTACTACCCGTACTGTGAACTCAAGCGGTCGAATAAGGCCCATTTTGTTATATTAATTCACAGTCAGAAACTAATATAATGTATATATATATATATATATATATATAGTTTATAAATTTTTTACACCTTTTTCCCGTGATTAACGTGAGGATATATATCAACATGATCAATATTTATGTTTTCATGAAATTTTAAAAAATTTTCTCTGAGAAGATATATGGAACCGACGATTCCAGTGGTAAGTTGACCTTTAATGTTATCTTTTACCCAATAATGTTTTTATGTAATATAGAAGGATGTTTGGTCTGTCTTAAACAAGGTCATTAGAATAAACCTGCACTCAAAAGAGGTATATAAGTACTGTTTTCAAGACTAACATTCTTTAGTAATTTTTCAGGTATAAAGAAGGCGGCCTAATGTGTCCAGACAAACCAACAGATAAGTGATTTTCATTACTTGCATTTCCTTTACAAAATTAGTGTTTTATTGTGTATGACTTTCAATCTAACATTTTATTTTCCAAATATATGTAGGGGAAAATAATTCAAAACCTTTCTGAAATGATCAAGGAAAAGAAGTAAAGCAGGACAAACACATTGAAGACCTCAAACAAATGTGTTTACTGCTACATGGTAATAAATTCTTATATTTTCAATAATATAACTAATTGTACACATTAATAGGTGTACCATTAGCAGTAGAATCTTGTTAGTTCTTTTTGTTGCCCAATATGCTATAGCCGCTGGATAACCTCTTCATGTTGTTTGTATTGTGTTGAATCAACGTTGTTTGCGTGCCTTCCTCTATGTCAAAGCTTGTGTGCATAAGAGAGCCTTCATTCTATGTCTGGTATACTCTTGTTGTTAACAAATTTATGTGCTATTTATGATGAACTGCAGAAGTTGGAAAAGTTTGTCTATAGATGATGTGATTTTGAGATAATTAGACTAAATCAAATTTTATTTGTTTATATAGAAAACTGAAGCATCTATATTTGGTAAATATATTAAGTGCATTTGTTAGCTTTTATTAGAATTTTTTACTTGGTTTCTTGTACTTGGAAGGTATATCAAAACTGATGTATTTCTGTATATCTATGAATGCTGCAATAATGGTTTCTTTAAAATGAGTAAATTCATGGTCGAAAATGATTGGTTTTATTCATTTATGTTTGATATTTGTTTATGTTATAACAGTAATGCTTGTTTTTATCATTTTTTACCTATAAATTATTCTTTGTGTACCTGTTATTATTATTATTTGCTAAATTGCTAATTAACAAAACACTTAGTGACTGAAAGTAAAAAAACACAATAATTCCCTTAGATATTTACATATTTTGACCTCAATTTTTGTTTTTGTTCAACTACAAAAAGTGAGGTGTTTTTAATTTAGTGACGAAGTGTTGGTGTATGGACATTTAATATTGACATTACTGGCTCTGTTTCTGAAGGCATGAATATATGTTGCACACTTATTGGTGTTCTGATATTGTTAGAGGCATGATTAAGTGTTTTCTTTTTTAAAGGCATGATTACATGTTTCACACTTATTGGTCATCTGATATTGATAAAGGCATTAGTAAGTGGTTTAGTTTGTTAAGACATTATTATATGTTTTTAAAGACCTGATTGTATGTTGAACACTTGTTGTTGTTGTTTGTGTTTTTCTGTTTAAATTGTAGTTGTTGTTTGCATACTTTGTGTTTTGCTGCTTTCATTCTGAAAAAATACTGATCTCATTAAGTTATTTGTTATTATGTTATGTTTAATAACTTTACAAAACTGATATGATCTTTAATTGGTGGTTTAGTGTTGCCTAATGATTCTTGTAAGTGTTATGATTGGATGTGTGTATTTGTTTTTAAAAGCAATTATGAGTGCTATATTTGAATTACTGTTTGCTGGCTTCTTATTTCAATACTTGTTTGGTGAAAGTATTGTTGAGTGCAATATTTGAATGTATTACTATTTTGATGTACTTTATTATAAAATTTAAAATAGTTAAAGTTTTGACATTTTCACATTTGTTTTTTTTTTAGTTCTGTTTTTATTATTTTATGATTGTTAAGTTATGTTCTGTTCTGTTCTAAGTGCTTATGTTCTCCTGATTTAATTTCATATGTCTGAAGTATTTTATGATTATTTAGCAAAAAAATATATAAATACTTTAAAAAATATAGTTGTTGTTGGAATACTTTGTGTCTTGCTGTTTTCATTCTGAAAAAATATTGATCTTATTTAGTTACTTGTTGTTATGTTATGTTTGATAACTTTACAAAACTGATATGATCTTTAATTGGTGGTTTAGTGTTGCTTCATGATTCTTGTAAGTGTTATGCTTGGATTTGTGTATTTCTTGCACACTTATAGGTCTTATGATATTGTTAAAGGCATGATATTTGTTGCACACTCCATTTGTTTATTTTTTTATAAAGAGAGATTGCATTAAGATTCAAAAAAATGTTATTGGGAACATTTCAATCTTAAAATAAAATCAACATAAGCATTCTACTAATTTATCTCAAAAGACTTCAATCCAAATCATGTGACGCACTCATTTTTTCCAACTTTATTTTCTTCTTCCCCATTGGCCCTTCCCCATCAGTTTGCTGCCTCTTCTTTAGGTCCTCTATGCGGTCCTTTACAGCCCTAATTGGGCTGTACACTTCAGCCTTCACAGCCCTAATTGGGCTGTACAATTCAGCCCTAATTGGGCTGTACACTTCAGCCTTTACAGCCGTCATTGGGCTGTCCACTACTTCAGCCTTTACAGCCCTCATTGGGCTGCACACTTCCTCAGCCTTTGTTGCCTTCATTATTGTAAATAAAAATAGAATTCAGAAAAGTAATATAAAATTTATTATACATAAAAATAAAATTATAAAGGTAATAACCTGTGAAGGAATTGCCAAGTGTCCAAACCGATTTAGCAAATTAGGATCATCGGTGATTCGAGAAACCGTAAATGGACCATTATAAGGTCCAATCTGATCCTTCTTCTTTGAAACTTTTAACATTACAGCTTTATAAGTCAACAGGCTAATCTCATTTGGCAATTCAACTCCATCATCTTGCTGCATAATAAAACATATAATAAGAACAATAAAACTTTTGATATATGTACATTTAAACATTTGGAGGAAGAGTAATTGTGTATGCCTTCAACATGTCATTGACAACATCTTCACACGGTTTTCCTATTAGTTCTCTCGAAACCTTATCCCAACACAGAAGTTGTACAATGCCCGTGTCGTCCACAACTGAAATGTCGAGCTTGTACCTTAACAATTAAAAAATTAAATATTGTTAAATCATATAAATATAATTGATGCTTATAATTTCTGAATTATAATTACCTAAGAAGAGCAAAGGGAATGGTGTCTTTGCAATAGCTGCACCAAAATCGATCCCCTTTTGCCTCTACTTTTCGCACACAAGTTGGGTAAGATTTGAAGAACCAATTTTGGGATATGTCAACAATGCTCCCATAAATCCAAAAATTCTTTTCCTGAAAATAGTAAATAAATAATATAACATATAAGTGCAGCCTTCATTTAGATTTAATATTTATATTAGTATTAACTATTGTATAATAAATTTTTTACCTCATTATATGCTAAAAAATCTGCTACACACTTAATTGGAGATATGCCGGACTCCAAATCATCACAAACATTATACATGAAGGGCTTCACATGTTGGATTGATGACTCACTTGGCCTTGTGTGTGAGTTGTACCTTCATATTCAATAAAAAATGAATTTCGAAAAAGAAAAATATTATTGAGTCGATATAGTATGATATAAAATAATAGAAAAGTATAAAAAATAATTTCATTATCAATACCTTTCTTTGAAATCCGCAATTTCGGGTACTTCCCCCATCATTAGCTTAGTAGCATCAAATGCGTTCACTACTTTTATGGAGCCTAAGACAACAAAATAATTTTTTAGAGAACACTATAAATTGTATTGTCAAATAAAAAAAATGAATCAACGTGAGGAATGTACCGTCCTCGAAAGCCTTTGCTCGACAACATTGGACAATGAGTACACGCAAGTTAGTCACGGGGGTTTTGTTCAAGGCATCAACAATAACTTGTACATATCCTTCCCATAGTGTGCAAGTTATATGGCAACCCCTACAAAATTATAGATAATAAATTTTCAATAACAAATAAAATCGTAATTACTTAAATTATAAGGAAGTGATTATGAACTATAACTTACTCAACGTCTTCAAGCACAACATCTATGAACTTCTTCCCCACACCATTTGAATTTGTAGTTCGTATGCTATTGACCATAGCAATACGTCCAATCAAATCTATAAAATAAAATAATAGAAATTAATCCTTTATATTGTAGCACAAGGGTGAGAATAATTGTATATTCATAATAAAAAAAAAAAATAAAAAATTACCAAATAGCTTGTTGAATCAACTGTTTGTGGGTCGGACAGCTCCTTGTAATTTTTGAAGTTGAACATCAATCTCGGTAGTTGACGTCAACTATCTCGTACATGTTTGTGTTTTCACTAAACTCAAACTTGTGGCTTGATTCCGTTAGTTTGAATGCATTTTTGTCCTCCGTAAGTTCCCAACCATTAATCCCGTACACTTGTCCTTCAAGAAGTTTGAAATCTTTGAATTTTTTCGCCAAGAACCCGGGTGCAGAACCATGAATCCGCTGCCCCTAGAAAAAGAAAAAATATAGTATTAGCAAAATATCAATGACACATTTAAAAAATAAAGAAATAATGCAACGTCCAAAAAAATTAGTAACACCTTAGCATCATGAAAAATGAAATCGATCTCTCTTATGCTTTTTCGGCTCGATTTGTAGAACTTGGGATAAGTTCGGACCAATCTGAGTTTTGCCGTCATTTTTTTGTTTTTTGCTAAATAGGTCAAATTATCAAACTGATTCTTGATGATTTTTTATGGAAAAAAAAATTTGCTGTAATGATTGAAATTTTTGCTCGGCAGCTAATGAGTGTTAGTGAAAATCAGCTGTCTATTTATATAGGAAATTTTCAATAGAGGCAATCAATAGAAATAAATTTGATTGATTGAAAAAATATTAATGAGAATATAAATATATGTTGATTGACAAAAATTTATACGATTTTTATAAATCAGATTAGTATCCACATTTACTTTTTAATTATTAGAGTTAATTGTCAGATTAGTATACCAAAACTAATTCAATTTTTTCAATTTCATTATCCCGCCTCAAACTTTGTGTTATTTAAAATTAATTGGCAAGTAAAAGTGTGCTATAATTAAGGATATTATATTTCAATAATTAAGTCTACATTATGATTTTCTTTTACTGCAACAAATTTGTAGGACATTTATTTTTTCAGATTATTATACCACATTTACTTTTTAATTATTAGAGTTATTTTTCTAATTTGTATACCAAAAATAAAAATTGTTTCAATTTCATTTTCCCACCTAACTGTGTTTGGAAATGTATTTATCTAAAAGTATTTAAATTTGATAGTTATAATTAATATGTTTTTGGAATACTAAATGTTGATATTTATTTTTTTTCTTGATTGCAGGAATTGCGAACCCAAAGGAGCTTCTGCTTTTTTTATTATTTATAATTTGTGTTTATGGTTTGTTGTATTTTGAGATATTTTATTATTTTATTTGTTGTTCATCAATTTATTTAAATTTACTATGGAAACCAAAATATATGATTTAATTATAATTGGGATGAGATTAAAAAATTGATTATTGATTTTTGTGCCGCCTAATAAAATGTTCAAGAAAAAAATGGGAACATTTTCAATAACTCATAATAATGGCAGATTAAATTTGTTTCCTATTTTATACATTTATTCATCCCACAAATTGAGCTTTCCATTAGAAAAAAGAAAATAAAAAACGAAAAATAAATAAAATGTAACTGAAATGGGCGGGAATTAGAAAAAAGTGCCAGCTAGGTAAAATTAAATAGGTTTTCTTTAATGTTTTGAGCTAGTAATTATATATATATAGACTTGATTGAGGTTTTAGGTGTTCATTTAGGGTTTGTTAATGATTTTAGGTTTTGATTTAGGTTTATTCAATGAGTTGAGTCAAACTCAGCCTATGTATTTATACTATTATTATAAGTTTGATATGAGTTCAAGCAACTAATCAAATTCGTTTATTAAATTGAGTTCGAGCAACTAATCAAATTTGTTTGTGAAAGGAGGCTAGCGGAGAGTGTGATTACGAATAGCTTGATTGAGGTTTAGGTGTTTATTTAGGGTTTATTAATGATTTTAGGCTTTGATTTAGGGTTTATTCAATGAGTTGAGTCAAACCCCTGCCTATGTATTTATACTATTATAAGTTTGATATGAGATGACTCGTATTGAACAAAAAAACATTGTACATAAAAGAAGTTAAACTAATCTTTTAAATGCTTTTTAGTGTGGATTACATGCATACAAATAAATGTAATTTTTTTTAGTGCAGATTACATGAATACAAATAAAAATAAATTGATAAATAACCTAGTGTTGTTTCTATAAAAATAAAAATGTAGCATTTTTTTTTTCGAGAACGGTAGAGGATATTATAAACACCACAAATAAAATAAGAGTACAACAACCGAGACTGATCGGAATCATAAATAACTAAGAGAACCACCAAAGGTGGCCTAGAAGAGATACACACAACGCAACTATAGGCTGAAGGTAAATCCGAATCGTACGACAACCAATATACTAAAACAAAGAAAAGGAAGAACAATTGCCTAGACACCGAATGAACCTAGCAGACACCAAGTCCCTCACCCGCCTAAATACTTCTCACAAATTCAAACTCCCGCCGATGACGAACAACCATCTTCACAATGGCAAACTCAGAAGTCCATGATCTTTCAAATATCCAAAGGTTGTGTGACATCCACAACCACCATAAGATGTAAGTGGTTAATTAGATTCGAGCCTTTGAGACCTAAGACTGGTCCAAAGTGCAAATCTGCCACCACCAATGCTTGAAGCTACCATGATCAGTTTTTAAACAATCCCAGTGTAAAGGGGCCATCTTCCAAACATTTGAAGTCTTCCTGCATTTAAAAAACATGTGCTCCACCGTCTCTACCTCCTCACCACAGCTCTTACATATCACATCAATCTCCACAAATTTCCTTGTAGAACTTTTGCCTTCTGCTCTATCCAGTTGAAGGACTTTGCTGTAAATTAGGTGCCCATAGACAGAAGCAACATGGAACATTACCTTCAAATCAAAGTGCCACCTCCATCTATCCTGCAAGTTAGGATTAAGATTGCTGACTTGAAGAATAGTTGTAATATCATGATCAATGAAAACCTGCTTGATCAGATCGTCATTCCATTATCTGTCATCCTCATTCAAAGGTCCCTGACCCCCATTATCTGTCATCCGCATCCAAAGGTCCCTGACCCACACCAAGCTTTCTCTATTCCCACCATAATCTCAGGAGGTTTACTACCCAACATAGGCACCCAAAAAGGATCCTGAATTCTTGTGTCTAAGCCATTCCTCACCTATAAGCTAGTATCTAAGCCAACGGGGGTAATTGTACGGCAGTATTGTCGCTTCGTGCACGATTCAAGGCTACACGGCCAAAACGCGAGATTGTCATTTGTCATCTTGGTCCTTACCTACACTTCATTCGTCTGGATTTGTGTACCAATTTTCCAATGCTGCATGTTTATTCTTACTGGTTTAGATACCGAGATACGACTGTTGCAGGTTGAGAGAATTTCTACCAGAACATGATCGAATCGTGATATAATATTTGTAATGCAGACTAACATGTCAGGATCGAATGGTGACATAATTTTTGTAATGCAGATTGACATGTCACTTTAAAATATATGATGTACATAATCATGCATTATTACGTATACGTTGGTTGTTATGGGTTTTTTAGTTGGAATGTATAACATTTGGAAATAAATCAAAATAATATGAATTAACAAAAAATAAAAAAGAAACAAATTATAAATCTAAAAAATGTTTCACAATAAACTCCTCGAATCAAACATCAATGTATAAACATTACTGCGCTCTGTCCCAATGCACCCTGCACTGAGCCAAACTAGGAGAAATCCACTCGCAATCCCTACAGAAGTTTGATGTAATGGAGAAGAGACAATTCCGTTAGGCTGTGAGCGGGGTCGTATATCTGGAATGGTTCGGGGTTCAGGTCTCGACTTCAGGCGGTTTTCGGCAATTTCGGGAGCTGTTTTTCGGACTGCCGTCAAGTCCGTTTAGGTGGGCGATCACGGGACCGGTGATGCTTCATGCTGGGTCATGGATTTACTGCTGTGGGAAGGGCTTGTGTTTTGGTTTAGTTTTCGTTTAGGTGTGTTTTTAGTGTTTGTGTTGTTTCATTTGTGTTTTATCTTTTTTCTCTCCCGTTGGGAATGTGTTCGGTGTATTCTCCTGTTGGGAGTTCTTTGTTTCTTCTTCTTTTGGGAGTTTTTTAATTGTGTTTTTGTTGTAGGTTGACACTAGGCTGCCGTCTATCTATACGTGTAGTCCTCCCTACTAGAATCAGCTGTTCAGCTTATTCGGCCGTTAGCCGTATATTCGACTGATAGCTATTCTCTAGTCTCGGTTGTGTTGTTAATATAAGTACTCCTATCATTCCGTTGAAAAAAAATAAAAATTCCACCTCCAAACTTAAGGATTACTTCTAAATCTTAAAATCTTAAAAAATATCAAATCTTAACAAGTATCAAAATGTAAGCTGAAATTCCAAATAAATGCACCCTCTTAAAATTTTACAATATTTTTCTACATTTTAAGAAGTTTCAAATTTCAAAATTTCCAAAATATCACTCCAAATACCAAGCGAATACACCACGGTAAGCGTTATTGTCATAAGGGTGGGTCGCCAAAAGGCCACCACCCAAGCCGAAGCGATCAAGAAATTCAATATTTGTCCGTGTAAAAATAAACTTCAAAAGAAGACCAGAAAGAAAGTAGACATACCAACATACTATCAAAAGGAGGAAAAAAAAGACAAAAGGATTACAAAAGAAAGAGAGAAATAAACACGAGAAGGAATCAGTATTATTAACCACGACAGTTGTATTTACGACTTTTCTGTAACAGCATAAACAGCAAAAAAGTTGAATTAGGGAAAAGGAAAAGAGAGGAAGAAGATCGTACTTGTAATTATATATCTTCGGTAAAAGAGGGGCAGAAGAAGTAAGGGGGCGATCTGAAGGCAAATGGGAACGCTTCAAACATGGAGAAAAGCATACGGCGCTCTCAAAGACCATACTCAAGTCGGGCTTGCCCATGTCAACTCCGATTTCAAGGTTTAATCCTCGAATTTTTCTTTGAGCCGGAAATTTTTATTTATTGTTTGGGGTTTGTTTCGATGATTAAGAGTAGAGTACCTATCAAGAGTTAGTGTATGAAAATTGTGATATCTAGTTCTTGGGTTTTGATTTTTAATTTCTTACTCAAAAACATTTGGTTTCGGTGGTGTCTAAAAATAGGATGTTGATGTGGCGATCGTGAAGGCTACGAATCATGTGGAGCATCCACCCAAAGAAAGACAACTCAGAAGTGAGTTTTCTGTTTTTCTTTCTTTTTCTTTTTTCTTTTTCCCCCGAATTCTTCATTTTGTTAGATCCGTTAGTTTATGTCCCCTGCATTATGTGAGGAATACTTGGTTCTGTGTTTTAATTTTCTGATTTGAGTATACATTATGAATTTTTCATATTGTGGTTCATTGATCCGTTGGGTGAAACGTAATGTTGGTTTTCTCTAAAGATACGTGTGGGGGCTTTTATTTTAGGAGAATCTCTTTGCTTAAGTTACTTTTTTTAATGGGAAATATGAAACTTTTCGATTTCCATGTTCCATATGGGAAGAACATGAGCTTTTCTTCTTGAGGTGTTAGAGATTTTGTGGAAATCTTCTTTACAGTATTGTCTGAACTGAAATTGTTGAAAATGTATGCATTGGCAATATTGTTACTATTATGTGTATGCCTCGTGCAGAAATTATGGTTGCAGCATCGTCTATGCGACCAAGGGCTGATGTTGCGTACTGTGTACATGCACTTTCGAGACGACTAGCAAAGACTCATAATTGGACGGTATGTATTTTGGTCGAATAGGGCCAAATTAGAATCTCATTTTTGTATTAAAAGTTTCATTATCTTTCTAATGAGTGTGATAGGGATTTGAACCTTCACATGTGTTAATAACTACTTAGGTTGTCCCTCTTCCTTTTGTCGACAGGTTGCGTTGAAGACATTAATAGTGATTCATAGGACACTAAGAGAAGGTGATCCCGTGTTTAAGGAGGAACTCCTGAATTTCCAACAGAGGGGCCGTGTACTTCAGATGTCTAATTTCAAGGATGATTCAAGCCCTATTGGTTTGTTACTTTTAGCAATGGAAATCTATAGATGGCTGTTCTTTTAGAGCCGTTAATCTATATTTTTTGTATGCTGCAGCTTGGGATTGCTCTGCATGGGTAAGAACATATGGGCTCTTTCTGGAAGAACGTTTAGAATGCTTTAGGATACTTAAGTATGACATTGAAGCAGAACGTCTTCCTCACCCTGCACAAGGACAAGATAAGGTACTCGTTTTTTGGTCTTACAAATAGTATTCATATAATATTTCCTCACGGTAAGATATGTGTCCTTTTCATTTACCTCTGACGAATCTTGCAATATATAGTCTGTTGCTGTTGTTTTATGTATTATCCTTGAAATAGCTTTCTACTGGAATCACAGAAAATTAATTGCATATTTACATGGATGATGCTTTTGTTGTTTGAGAGTGAGCATTATTTAGGTCACTTTTAAGTTCCATAGCAAGAGTTGAACAGAATCAGAGTGGAAGTTATCTTAATAACTTCATTTTCATGCTTATCTCATGTAAAAGGCAATGCATGGTTTAAATATTTAAACCTGGACTTAATTTCATTGTTTGGACCTTATAATTCAGAGAACCTCATGTGTAATTATTTTGTTCGCAGGGTTACAGTAGAACAAGGGACTTGGACAGTGAAGAACTTTTAGAACAGTTGCCTGCTTTGCAGCAGCTTCTGTATCGTCTTATTGGGTGCCGGGTGGATTTTCTCAATTACTATACTATCTTTTACCATAACATGTTTTTTTTTTTTTTTTTTTATTTTTTCAATTAAATACTTTCTTTCACTATTTGTGATCTGTGCGCTCTAATAAACACTGAAAACTATATTTAACCGACTATTTTTCATTTCAGCCTGAAGGGGCAGCTGTGGGAAATTACATAATCCAGTATGCCCTTGCCCTGGTATGTGCTCTAAATTTACTTTCTGTTTCCAATTATGTTTATAATGGCAGTTTTAGTTGAAAGGTTTATGAGAAAAGTAAAAACTTAAAATTGATAGTTTCATATGAAATGTATTTCCCTGGTAAAGATGGAGAAGATTAAGTTGGTGACTAGGAAGGGGAGGTCTTTATTCTTTCATTTGCAACTGAGAGGAAACAAGGGAAATGATGATAGAAAAACTCCTTGTGTTTTACCTTTTTTGTAGTTTGGGTTACATTTTGACAGTGACTTACTCTTTCTGTATCTTTCCTGAATCTTAGGTGCTCAAAGAGAGCTTTAAAATATATTGCGCCATAAATGATGGGATAATCAATCTTATTGATAAGGTGAGATGAATTTATATACTTATATTTTTCTATATAATTGAGGGCCTTATTATTTCTTTGGTCATGCTAAAATGTTCTCCTTTGTGCTTCTCTACTGTTGCTTCCAGTTTTTTGAGATGCCAAGACACGAAGCCATAAAGGCCCTAGATATCTATAAAAGAGCTGGCCAGCAGGTAGGTTCTTGTATGAGTCATATTTCCATTTATTTCTTATAGTGTCACTGAAGTTGCTAAATAGAATTTGAATTGATTGTCTCGCTTTATGGTGCCTATAATGGATATGCTCTAAATTCAGGCCGCTAGCCTTTCTGATTTCTACGAAGTTTGTAAAGGACTCGAACTTGCTAGAAATTTCCAGTTCCCTGTCTTAAGAGAGGTAAGATAATTTACAATGCATACCTTTTAATCTTTAGAAATTTGTTTCTAACCCTAATTATGACAGTCACCATCTTTGTAATGTTTCTTCTCAGCCTCCTCAGTCTTTTCTAGTGACCATGGAAGAGTATATCAAAGAAGCTCCCAGGATGGTTCCCATTCCAAGCGTAGCCTTGGTCAGTAAAGTCTTTTACATTTCGAACATTGTTTTCTAGCATAATTTTCCCACGATTTTTCCATGATAATATGATTTTATTGTGTAATACTAGGAATATCCGGAAAGGCTGATGCTGACATATAGGCAAGAGGATGCTCCAGCTGTTGAAGAAGATACGAAGGTGTCAGAAGACGAACAGCCCTCTGATGAAGTTGCAACCTCAACTGCTGACGTGGCTGCTCCCCCACCTCCAGCAATCAATACGGACACAGATGATCTATTGGTCAGTGTTTTTATTAAAGAATATACTCCAACCAAATTAATTCTATTCAAAATTTAACTCAACTTTAACTCAACCCCACTATCTTCAATATTATCAATATAATTAAATAATAACAACCAATCATTTTTACACATCATATCAACTTTAATTCACTATTCATCCACACACATAATTTTAACTAACCATCACATCATATCATCTCTCTCCTACTTTTACATCAAACCAAATTTAATTATTTTATTTTCAATATCATTTTAATATAAACTCAAAATTCGAATAACAACTAACTACACCACTTTTTCTAAATTAACCGTAGTTAACTCAAAAAAATTCACTTTGAGTTAGTTCACTCAAATTATTCCTTTAACAAACACACCAATACTTTTGACGGGCTAATTTCAAAAGGCTACTTTGAGGTTCAGCCCAATTACCAAACCCACATTACAAATATTTTCTCTGGTTTTTTATTCTACATGGTGAACTCTAGAAGGTATTTATCATGTTATTGCTAAACTGAAATGGAATTATGAATATTTGAAGGAGTCATTGTAATTTTGAAAACTAACTAGATTGTTCTTGTAAATAAGTCGTCTCGTTTGTGATATTTGTAAATATGTACTGCTTTCTAGGTTTCCCTTATTAATAGTTCATTGGTTTTGTGCATATAATTATTCCAGGGGTTGAATTCCACTTCAATAGATGGATCTGCCATTGAAGAAAGCAACACATTGGCGTTAGCCATAGTTGCATCTGGTGAGGGTTCTTTCTCAGAGACTTCCTATTTGTTCTCTCTCTTTTCCTTTAAATATATAAATTTACTAAATTATTCCAACCATGCAGCAGACACTGCAGAAGTCGGCTCAAATTCTCCCCAACCAAAAGATTTTGATCCGACTGGATGGGAACTTGCCCTGGTCACCTCTCCAAGCAACAACTCATCATCATCAGTTCCCGAGAGGCAATTGGTATGTTGGTCCTTGTGCTAATTATTACTAGATTTTTATGAGGATTAGCGATGAGCATAATATATTGATACATTTAAAGTTTGAAATAAACGAGCAAATCATATTAAGTGACACTTTTACAGAATGGTTTGATCCAATTTTTGTTATGAAAATAATTTGGCTATGACCGTCTGGTTTTGTCTAGGGACTGGAGAGAATATATAACCAAACCAAACTTTACAGTACATTTATCTAGGCCTAATTAAGAAAAACAACATTTTCTGTATTGCAAACATAATCATTATGTTTTTTCAAAGTTGCAATAATACGTGCCTTTTGTGATTTCGTTGCAAAAACGAATCACGGGGCCGCAAAATGGCAATGTTGACATGTCATTACAACTAATAAAAATTGCAAATGTAGATAAACTTTCAAATGCTGACATTTCATAGCATCTGGCCAAAATTTGTCAACGTGTTCTTTTTTAATTGAAAAAGCTAATCGTAATTTTTTTTTTCAAAATTGATATTTGGCTAAAACTTTTTGGTCCATTGCAGTTCAAGTAATACAGTAAGTTTGCCAACCTGTCCCTTTTTAATTATATAAAAAAAAAAAAATCGTCAACTTTATAAAGATTGATATTTGGCTTAACCTTTTTGGTCCATTGCAATTCAAATAATAAAGTAAGATGTATGAGCCAATATTTTCAATGTCCTTTTTGTTTATGCATGTTGTCTACTTTATGCCTTACTTTGTTTACAATAGTTTCTTATCTTGTCCGCATGGTTATCCTCCTACTAGCTTGCATTATGTTGTTAATATGGTTGTGAACGACATTGTCTAGAAATAAATACCTTCAGGATGCCTTTGGACTCCTCGTTTCGTCTACGAGGAGTCCAAAGGCATCCTGAAGGTATTTATTTCTAGACAATGTCGTTCACAACCATATTTTATTTATTTATGAAGATACTAATTTTTGTTGTCTTGTCAGATATATTTTTTTTACAGAACTCCGGTTGAAAACTTTTTTTTTTTTTTTGTTATTTCAAAAATTTCACTATTTATACCATCCAACTTTTTTTCCCTCTATATTATCAATACAATTAATAATAAAAACCACATCATTACTACACATTTTTCAATAAAATTCTACACATGCATTTATTTTAATTACCAATCATTTAAATTCATTATTTTACTATTTTTATCACATCAACTTTGATTATTATATTTTATCTCATATCCCATTCACAATTACAAACTTATTTCATTCTTCCACCAAAACATTTTTTCCCACTCTAACTCACATTTTCCAATCAAACATTTTTTTTTTCCCAAAATAATCCATCCCACTAATGTGCTTGAAAAAACTAAATAAAGTGTTACATATATTTATTGTTTGTCAATATGAACATATATGTTAATTGGTGTATATATATATATATATAGATTTACTTATTCATCGTATCCTTATTTGCAAAACCTTAGTTCAACCATTGTAGATATTGTCGCGAAGCGGTGCCCTTCCTCTTACCGACATTCTCATCCTTCTCAATAAACAAAAATAAACTTCTTTATTTTTTATCTTCTCTTTGTTGCATTTGACTCATATGTATTGGATAGAATAAAATGAAAAGTATCAGTTTAAAATAATTTTGACATAAGCCTTAACATAGAATGATGTGCAAGTATATCAATTATCTATTTTAAAAATGATGATTAATAATCATGATCATGCTACATGTATATGTTGTGAAAGATTCTGACATGTAATTTGAATTTCAAAAGTCATGTATTTATTTACTATCTTCTAAAAATTTGGTTAAATTTGCATTGCTTTATAAAGTTGATGATTTTTTTTACTAATAAAAAATGACATGTTGCCAGTTGCTTGTCCTGTGGGATGACACGAGATGTTAAACGGGCTAGTCCTAACGGTTTCGGGCTAGCCCTAGCGGGCTTCGGGTTAAACGGTCCGGACCTTAAAAGTCTGAATTTAAATGGGCTACCAATAAAAGGACCTAACCCTAAACCTAGTGGGCTTCGGGCTATAATAATAATAATAATAATAATAATAATAATAATAATAATAATAATAATAATAATAATAATAATAAATAAAAAATTACAACACCTAGTGAACGGTTTTTTTCAATGGTTATTTAGTCTTTAGTAAAAATAAAAAATTTGTTAATAATTATCAAAATAATTAATAATACATTACAACTCATAATTACATATGGAGTAGAATAGCAAAATTGTAATATACAAGGAATAGTGAGACATATTCCTTAGCTTTCTAAAAACATATACACCAATATTCCTTACCTTTCTAAAAACATATACACCACCCAACCCAAGTTAAACGGGCTAGCCCTAGCGGGCTTCGGGCTAAACGGTCCCTAACCCTGTTTTTTTTCGGGCTAAACGGGCTGGTCTGTCGGGCCGAGGATCATTTAACATCTCCATGACACACCATGGCCCATTTTGTGGCCTGGTGATTCATTTTGAAATGAAATGACAGTTGTGTCTATTATTGCAAATTTTAAAAAGTTTGGTTATGTATGCAAAAGGGAAAAATGTCATGTTGTTTTGCAACTAAGTCCCATACAATTGCCATGTCAGATATTGCTATAGTGTAATGTGACATTGTTTCTATCGTATGTGATATTTTTAAAGGCACATACAGTGCTAATGTGGTATTTGCCGAAATTGAGAGTGCAATCTAAAATGGTTTGTTGCAACTGACTTAAACCAAATCGTACTTTTTGGTTTGGTTCAAAACTGTTTTAGATCATCTGATTTTGTACAGCTCGGTCTTTCGTAATTAGATCATAACTCAGGGACCAATTCTTGTAATTAGCATTTCTTTTCTCGAGTTTGTTTTATAACTTGGGATCTGGTGGATGAATGAATGCCAGGCTGGCGGACTGGATTTGCTTACCCTCGAAAGTTTATATGAAGATGGCGCGTATAGAGCATCCCAGCAACCAGTGTATGGAGCCGCAGCTCCTAACCCGTTCGAAGCCAACGACCCATTTTCAGTTCAGATGGGTAATAATAATAACCCATTTGGGCCATTTCAGCCAGCTGGTTCGCATCTACAGGCCCAACCTCAAAACCCTTTTGGCGATCCAACAGGGTTTGGTGCTTTCCCCACTGTTCACCCACAAAGCCCAAATCCTTTCGGGAGCACTGGACTTATATGATGTTGTAATTGCGTGCATATACACAGGATGTAATCTACTTTTCGGCTTATTAAATAGCTTTTTCCTATTTTTTATTCATATATATATCTATGTATTTCAAATGATTGTACTGAGGAGTGATCAGACTATTATTGTCCCATAGGAAGATTGGCTTTTGAGCTTGAAATTATTTACGCTTGTTTTGGGCAGTTAAAATAGTTGCAGAGCAGCTATT